CAGGCAAGAATACTGGAGTGGGTTGCCATTTCCTTCTCCAGGGGATCTTCCCAACCCTGTGGCTCAGATGTAAAGAATCCACCTGCAATGTGGGAGACCTGGGTTCGATCCTGGGTAGGGAAGATCCCCTTGGAGAAGGGAATGGCACTCCACTCTAGTATTCTTGCCTGGAAAATTCCACAGACAGAGAAGCCTGGCGGGCTACAGTCTAGGGGTTCACAAGGAATTGGACATGACTGAGTGACTAACAAATGATGCTGGCACAACTATTATCCTTATGCAAAACAGAGAAAGAGAGATTTGACCCTTATTCACACCATATAGGTTTCCCAGGTTGCTCAGTGGTAAAGAATCCGCCTGCCAATCCAGCAGACATGGGTTCCATCCCTGGGTCAGGAAGATACCCTGGAGAAGGAAATGTCAACTCACTCCAGTATTCTTGCCTGGAGAATTCCATGGACAGAGGAGCCTGGCAGGCTACAGTTTCCATAGGGTTGATAAGAGTTGGACATGACTGAGTGACTGAACGAACATGTACACATATACAAAATTAACTCAAAAAGAATAAATTGATAACCTGACCATCAAAATTAAAAACTCGTATGCATACCTAAAAGACACTACTGAAAATATGAAAAGAGAAGCCACTGACTGGGACATACATATTATCTGGCAAAAGACTTGCATCTAGAACATAAAGAACTTTTGCACAACTCAATAACAAGAAAATAAACCATTTAAAAATGGGCAAAAGAGTCGAATGGATATTTCATAAAAGACATACAAATAACTAATAAATACCTCAAAAAATAATCAACATCAATAGTTACTGGAAGTGTTAGTTGCTCAGTCATGTCTGAATCTTTGCAACCCCATGGACTGTAATGAGAAAGAGCCAACTACTGTTATGTTACAGCTTGGATAAATCTCAGCAACATGCTAAGTGAAAAGAAAACATATGCAAAAGATTATATACTATATGATCCCATTTATAGGAAATATCCAGAAACAGTAACTCTACACAGACAGAATGCACACTGGTTTCTGGAGTAGGGGACAAGAGTAGGCAATGGCTATAAACAAGCATGAGGCAAGATCTGTGGATGACGGCATTGCTCTAAAACTGGACTAAAACTGGTTGCACAACTCTATAAATCTACCACAAAGCGTTGAACACTTGCAGTGGATGACGTTTTTGGTGTGGAAATCACACCTCAATCAAGCTGTAAAAAATGAAGGAAAAAAAAGATACTTCACGTGAAAGCCAGAATGATCCAATATGGGTGACGTAAAGGGTGGAGTCGATTTTGAAACAAAGATGTCAGTTAATAAATATTTGCAAAATGAATAATGAACTTTTGAACCTGGCCACTTGAGAGAAACAAAAAGTTCAAAACGTTTATGATTTTTTCTCTTTACCTCATTTTTATTTAACTTTCTTTTTTGGCATGTGTGACCTTAGCTCCTAAAGTCCTCTGTAGTAAAGTGCTGGAAATATGGAGTCTTAAACACTGGACTGCCAGGGAAGTCCCTTATTTAACTTCCTTTTTTTTTATTATTATTAGGGATAATAGTAATAGTACCTCTTCCACAAGGATATAAATAATATAATAAGATAGTGGACATAAAGCTTTCAGCATAGTGTTTGGCATGTAAGTGCTAGATATTAGCTAGTAATAATCATAAAAATACTCACATTTCCTCTATAGATGTGAAAACACTTAAATACATTTATATTTCTCTACTTTCAGAGCTATGAAATTTCCCTTACAGTAAAAATGGAACTACAATCTAATAACTTTATTGGTTTAGCTGCAAAACTATTGACAGTAGATACATTTTGGTTTTTCATTTTTCAAAATATAGCCACCTGCAAGGTACACATTGCGGTATTTTTAAAAAATCAAAATAATTTTAAAAATGAGATATATTCACTAGCATGAATGAAACTAGTTGATTTAAATGAATTTATCAAGAAGCATAAACTGTGTGCCAAAGACATCAGTTAAATCTTATGAGAATAAGTGATATGAATGAATAAGTAGGAATATCCTAATTTCTTCTTTGACTGACAGACATTTAATTCATTTGATCACTGTTTAGTTTTATAAGTTATCACAGAATTATTCCATTGGAAACAACCTAATTAGGCCATTATCTATCTTTAAAACTTTAAAACATTCTTCTCATAAAGAACTGATCGTACTTTAAAAACAGTCCAATAAAGAATCCATAACCTACTTGGTAGTGTGTCTTCATATTTCAGGAGAGTATTCTTTTCTTCTGTTCTTTTCTGAAAAGAAATCCACTCTGCTTTTGGATCCACTGGCTTCGTTGTAAAGTGAAGGTTATCTCAGGTGAATGACACAATTCTTCAGATAGCCAGTTTCAAGCACAAATGGGGACAACGGAAAATGGGTGTGCCACCCAACTGGGTGCCTTTTGTTGGAGAGTGAGAAAAGCAGAAGCAACAAGAACAGAGACAGGGACATGGGAACATACTTAGATGCCACGTGTGTGGTTCCAGAAAAAAGCTTCGGCTAAAGTACCCTGTGATGTTTAAGAGGGAAATAATCGGTCAAGGAAAAAAAAGGGATGGAGAGTTAACTTTAGCTATAAAACAGATGAACTGCATCATGTTAGGAAAAGAATGTAATTTACAAGTATGTAAACTGCATTAAGTAATACTTTTAATGTACTTGAACTTTGCTATATTACAATAAATATTGCAATGAAAATTCAGAATATTTTTATTTCTAATTATCTGCATTTTTCTTATATGTACAAGTTCCTCTAGATGTATATGAAAATGCAATATTTGTGGTCTGAAATGACTGTTTTACACTATCTTTAAAAATCAACGGTAGCTTCATAGTTACTTACACTGTGTCTAGAAAGTGTAATTTGGACGTTACAAGGCGATGCTTCTAGTCACATTAACTAGCACTGATACTTATGGAATATTCAAAACTGTAACTGGAATTTTTGGGTTGACCAAAAAGTCTGTTCAGGTTTTTCTGTAAGATGTTACAGAAAAGTATGAATGAACTTTTGGGCCAACCCAATATTTCTAGAGCATAGCGGGTCAGGTAAAATTTTGAGCCTGGAACTCTAGTGGTCCCAGTCCTTCAGTCATTAGCAGATTCATTCCAAGTGAAAGGAGAAGGCAGTTGTCAGAAACTGCTGGGCAGGAAGCAGGGGCTGTGTCCCCTCAGACTGCATGCTCAGTATTCCTGACTTCCCTCCCTCTCAGAAGGTTCCTTTGTCATCTTCTTTCTCCTGGATAAAGTGTGGCATGGGGCAGGGAGAGGTGCAGAGTGTAATTATAACCCCAGCCAGGCTCTCTCCATCCCAGCCTATATGCCTCTAAGGACAACTCTTCCCAAGGCACCATTTTTTAATAATGGATAACATCAGCAGCAAGTACAGAAGTGAAATATTACCAGCACAGCACTGATCACATAAATAAGAACAGAATTATCCAAAAAAAGACTGAGCTACAACTTTTATTTTCTATATATTCAAAATAATTGATGAGTTGGATAATTTATTACATTTCCTTTCTGAAACAGAGAATTCTTTGCTTCTTTGAAAAGAGCAGATATTTTACCTGTGTAGGACTGAAAATTCATTTTCACAACTCTTCTAATCTTTTGCTTCTATATTTGTAGAATTTTCTTTCCAGTTGCCCTAAGAGTAAATAAAATTTTAGAGCTAGCTCTTCCCACTTTCCCAGAATAAAATATCTGAAGCCCAGAGAGGTTATCCACCCTGCTACAAGTCAAAACAGAAGGACTGTGCATCAAAGCCCAAATCAGCACCCAGACTCTCAGCTCCCCCAGCATCTGTGAACCACGCCTCACTGACTCTATGCAACACTATTCAAAGACACAATAATGGGTTTAGCTCTAGCTTATGTAGAGAAAGCAAAGGACACTCACCTCTTTTCATTTCTCTGGACAAATCTAAACGTGGTAAAGGATTTACAAGGCAGATAGATAATACAACAAAGATGAATTTGGTTAGCATAACCAATGATGCAAGTGGCTGTATATATTATTAATCTCTGTGAAGTCTATATGGTTAAAGGAGTTAAGAAAAAACAAGCCTGACATTTTTTCAAAGCATACTGTTGACAGAGCTACAAAGAGATGACAGGCTACGTTATAAACAGTAAATAATTAAAAAATGACATCAGCCTTTTAACAGATTATTTCAACAGTTTATTTTTTGCTAATGATGGGGTATTTCTTCAGTAAATTCAAATAATTAATTTTATATGAATGAATGATAAGCTAGAGCTAGAAAACTGACACACAGCATTATCTTGAAATTTTAGGGGGGAAAAGTGGTTGACTGGAACGTCACCTATCTTTCGGAACCAAACAATGTTGAAATAAACATATTTGGAATAGAAAACGGTATCTGGCTCTTTCATATTTCAAATGCAAAAGTCCTTTGATAGAGAGAATTCCATTTTTTTCTGCATCTGTTTAGATCACATGACAATCGTAGGAGGCAACATTTGGATCATAGAATGTAGCTATCAAAAACCTAAGTAATGTTTAAAGTAATGAAGAAATTAGGTTTTCCACATGAAAGAAAATCAATGATCAAATAAATTTAACATGATTATGGTGACTAAAGTAAAAATACCAAGTATAATGTGATAGTTTTCAGTTCTTGTTTGGCACATATATTAATAAATTTTTAAACATCAAACAATACAACATTGATATGTACTAAAACCAACTAGGTACAGTAAGATTCCTAAAGCGCAGTTAATTATTAACATCATAAAAACCTAATTTCCATATGAATTCTGTAAACAAGTACATTCTCTCTGCACTGTGCGAGCTGGTCCAAACACTGTCTTTTCAGGATTCCCCAGAATTCAAGAGCATTTTAGAGATAAATCATGCTGAACCCCACGATTCCTTATTGAATTCTGTGGATCTTCTCAACAGGCATTCAGTTAGGAGACTACACGCACACACTCATCACAACTTTGAAAAGAATGGAAGGCCTTCATACATGTCAGTTTTTAGTTTTATCCAATCATTAATTTTCTGCAGAGTTGTTTTTTCTTGACTTAATATTTTTGCAAGTTTTTTCATTTTTTCTTCATTTCTTTCTATGTACTTCAACCCTTCCAACTGCAGCTGATTCAGCTTTTCATTTCGACTTTCATCTAGAGGTATGTTTTCACACATAACAGGATTAAATCTAAAATAGGTGTCAGGAGGTAACAGACCATCAAGCATTACATGGACTTCTGTTAAAACAAAGAGAGGACAGGGCGAATTAAAAAATCAAGTTATTCTGCAATGATCTAATTTTATGTTTATTTAAATTATCCTATTTTAGGCAAATCAGAAAGCCTGCTTATTTTTCACATTCTAGCTAATTAACGGCAAGAGTAAAGAATCCGTAATATTGAATATAACTATGAAATGAAATTCAATTCCTGATATGTACCATATAATTCTGTTAAATTAGGATCCCAGCTCCAGGACTCTCTTCTGTTTTCGGTCATATTGTTAGCCACTGCTGAGATGCCTTTTCAACCTTCCTTTTGTTGTTTTTTAATTTCCTGAGGTCATCTTTATTGAGATATAATTTATATACAATAAGGTTAATAAATTTTAAATGTCTAAACTGCCAGGTTTTGACAACTGTATACACTTGTTTGATCACAATCACCATGACACAGAATAATGTCTATCACCCCAAAAGCTTCTTCATGCCTCTTTATGGTTGATTCCTCCCTTATCTTTTGCCTTTTCTAGAATTTCATATAAACAAACTTACAAATATATACATAGCTCTTCTGTGTCTTGTTATTGTTTTTACTCAGCAAAATGCTACTGAAATACATATTGCAGTATGGATCAATAGTTTCTTCCTTTTTATTGCTAAGTGGTAACTCATGTAGGGATATTACACAATTTGTTCTCTCTGGTCTGGGTCTGCTTCTCTTCAGTTTTCAGCTATTAGTAATAATTCTAAATCATTTTGTGGATATATGGTTCTATTTTTCTTGCATAAATACTCAGGGATGAAACTGCTTGTTCATATGGTAAAAGTTTACTTATCTTATTAAGAACAACAACACTCTTTTCCAAATGGTTGCACCATTCTGCATGTCAACCACTAGGATTATCTGAGTTCCCACTGTTCATATCCTTGCAAAGACTTGATATTGTTGGTCTATTTTTAATCATCTTAGAGGGTGTGTACTGGTATCTTGTGGTTTTAATATTCACTTTCCTAATGACTAATAATGTTGAAAAATCTTTCATGTATTTATCAGTCCTCTGTATATCTTCTTCAGTGAAGTGTCTGTTCAAATATTTTGGCCATTTTTTTTTTCACTGATTTTTTGTTTTTTGTTTTCATCTCTATATATTCCTTATATGATATATTGTAAGCATTTTCTATATGTTTTGTATCTGATTATACATTTGGTTCTGATGATGGATCAAACACATATTTTACCAATATTTGACTTCAGTAGATAGCTTGTCTCTTCATTTTATTAAAGTGTCTTTTGAAGAACAAAATTTATAACTTAATGACATCTAATTTATCTATTTTGCCTCTTATGTACTATCAAAGACTCCTTACCTAACCCAACGTCATTAAGATTTTCTCCAGGGTATTTTAGAAGATTTGCAGGTTTAACTCTTATATTTAGATCTGTGATCCATTTCAAGTTAGTTTTTGTATATGGTGTGAAGGGTCAATGTTCAGTTTTTTAAATACAGTTATCTAATTGTCCTGGTACTATTTGTTGAAAAGATTATCCTTTCCTCTTTGAGTTATCTTTGTCAAAAATCTTTTCAGCATACATGTCTGGATCAATTTCTGTATTATTAGGTACCACTGATCTAATGCAAACACCACCCTTGTTTACTATAGTTTCACGGCCTCGAAGTCAGAGAGTCTAAGTCCTCTAATTTTGTTCTTTTTCAAAACTGTTCTGGTTACTCTAGGTCCTTTGCATACCCATATGAATTTTACAGTCATCGTGTTAATCTTTACCCCACAGAAATTCTGTTTTGATTTCCATAGCAGTTGCAAGAAGTCTATATATCAATCTGTGGTTTGCCACCGTAACAATACTGACATTTCCAATTCATTAGCACAGTTATCAATTATTTAGGCCTGCTTTAGTTTCTCTCAGTAATGTTTTGTACTTTTTACTGTTCAGGTCTTACATATAACTTTCAATGGGAACTGCTGTTTTTATACATCAATAACCATCTAGTATCAGCAATTACATGTTTCACTCTAATTCTTCATTAATTAGAGTGTATATGCACAAAGGCAGTATTTCATATTTCTTAAAAATTTCAAGTGAGCCAATAATGTGGTTTGCACAAGATATACATATAAGTATCACGAGACTGGGTGATCAAAGCTATCTTTTTCTAAGAAGACTGCTTACAGTAAGAATATTTTATTGATTTGACAACAAAATTGTAGATAGTGAAAAATCCAGAATGTCACCTGTTCTTGTGTTATCATTTAATAGATAAACGTCCTTAGTGGGAAGTTTAAGATGCTCATGTAGGCTGATGACTCAGTCAGTAATAAGATAACAGAGAAAGAATGAGATTCAGAAGTAAGAGGCTGTTAAGTGGGAACAATTCTTTTTACAAATTTAATAACAGATTTCACGTAGGACTTAAAAACAACATAGTAAAATAACGAGCTCTAGACCTCAAAGCCAAAATTAGAAAGTCAACAAATACTGACTACCTACTATGTGCCAGGCAGTGCAGTCAACATAGTCAGCTGGGTAAGTTCCTGCTTACATTCTGGTGGGATACAGAGATTAGAAAGTGAACAGAAAAACTTTCCCTGATGTACTCTCAGGGAAAGTACATCTGAGCAGAGACCAGAATGAAGTTAAGGGAGGGACTTGAGCACGTACTGATATCTGGGCAATGCCTTACAAACAGATGACAGATAGATATCTGAGGCAGGGCCTTCTTAGGAAGTTGAGGAACAGCAAGAATTCAAGTGTAGCCAGACACACTTTACAGAGGGGACACAGCTTGAGAGAAGGGGAAAAGATGCATTCAAAGGCTAGGTCTTCCAAGGTCTGGTGAATTTCAGTGAATGAGGCTTTGGGATTTTGTTCTAAGTGTGATGGGACGCCTAGAGGGTTTGGAACCAGGTAAAGACATGATGTAATTTACATTTTAAAGGATCACTTGGGCTTTATTACGAAGGCTAGATTACAGGGGCAGCCAGAGTGGAAGTAAGGACTTATTCTCGTTTGCCTCCATGTCATTAAATAATCCAGAAGGAATCCAATTCTCTCCCTGTTATCCTGTGTTTGTCTGAACCAACCTCCTTTTTCTTCTTCTTAAGAGTCTCTAACCAAGCCTTTGTGTGACTCCTGCCTCAGCTACTTCTCCAACTGTAAGGTGGCAAAGGTACCACTAGCTCCCACAGAGAGAAGTTGCTACTGTAGAAATGAGTGAGGAGAAAGAGAAATGATAAAGACCTGTTCCCATGTGCTTCCTAAGCCTGCAATACAGACATAACAATGTACTTTTTGCAGTGAGCATCAGCATAATCTACCAGAACCTTAATTCTAAAGGTGAAGTACATTAAGACAGCAAACAGACGAACCTTCTGTGTCTGTAGCACTGTTGATGACGTTAGAAAGCTTGGTTTTCAGGCTCGTGTACGTCACGTTGTTCCTCACGTCACTCTCATAACGCCCAGTGCCCAGGGACACTATACACTCTAATGGGACGTCTGGCCAAAGACATTTACACTCGTGCATTGCTAATGCAGAAGGGTTATTCAGGAGCAAACCTCCATCCTGCAAAATGTAAGTCAAACAAATATAGGAAGTAAATCTGAAGTGAAATTCTTTTTTACAAATGTGAAAACAAATTACATTTTCCACAATTTGAAATTTAGTCAGTTAGGAAAACTGAACTATGTAATAAACTTAACAAATTATTTAAAAATAAGAGATTCCTTTAAAGTGAATTTATTTTATAAACTCCAGCTGCAAAAGAAGTCATATGAAAATTCACTGGTCTCACTGGCTTTATTAAACTTTCCTTTACTATTATGGAGGTTCTTTTTGAACTTTGGATTGCTCTGAATATTTTGCTCAAAATTACTCAAATGAACAGAATTACTCTTAAAGGTTTTTATCCTTGTTTAGTGGTTAATAGAGTCTATATAAAATCTAACAAAAGAACTGTGGTTTTACCAAATAAATAAAGACCAGTTCTGTCACAAATCCAATAAAACCAAATTGATTAAAGCAATTTAAGTTGAAATTTTATTAATACAAAGTATCAATTTCATTTATTGCAGATATAACCTAAATAAAGTAGGCAAGCTTTATATTTCTAAGCATTATCAATAATCTACATTATTTTGAAGAACCCACAAGAAAAGAAAATAATTTTCTAAAAGTTTATAGCTGTTCAAAATTCAGTAGATGTATCACCTGAGGTTTATGCCAGGAATGGGATAAAGAACGATGCCCAGCCCATATTCCACTTCTAATTCAGCAGAAAGCTATTTCTTTCGTTAAATTATTTTTATCTTCAATTCTGTACTTATACTCCACAACTTCTAATCATTTGGCTGTTTTAGATGAAACATTTCATTATCATAACAGCTATAAAGAAGTATAGTTCCACTGGACATGGAACAACAGACTGCTTCCCAACTGGGAAAGGAGTACGTCAAGGCTGTATATTGTCACCCTGCTTATTTAACTTATATGCAGAACACATCATGTGAAATGCTGGGCTGGATGAAGCATAAGCTGGAATCAAGATGGCCAGGAGAAACAACAATAACCTCAGATACACAGATGACACCACCCTTACGGAAGAAAACAAAGAAGAACTAAAGAGCCTACTGATGAAAATGAAAGAGGAGAGTGAGAAAGTTGCCTTAAAACTCAACATTCAGAAAACTAAGATCATGGCATCCGGTCCCATCATTTCATGGCAAATAGACGGGGGAACAATGGAAACAAAGACTATTTTCTTGGGCTCCAAAATCACTGCACATGGTGATTGCAGCCATGAAATTAAGACACTTGCTCCTTGGAAGAAAAGCTGTGACCAACTTAGCATATTAAAAAGCAGAGACATTACTTTGCCAACAAAGGTCTGTCTAGTCAAAACTATGGTTTTTCCAGTGGTCAAGTATGGATGTGAGAGAGGGAATATAAAGAAAGCTGAGCACGAAAAAACTGATTCTTTTGAACTGTGGTGTTGGAGAAGACTCTTGAGAGTGCAGGGAGATCAAATCAGTCAATCCTAAAGGAAATCAGTTCTGAATATTCACTGGAAGGACTGATGCTGAAACTGAAACTCCAATACGTTGGCCACCTGATGAGAAGAACTGATCCACTGGAAAAGACCCTGATGCTAGGAAAGATTGAAGGCAGGAGGAGAAGGGGACGACAGAGGATGAGATGGCTGGATGGCATCACTGACTCGATGGACATGAGTTTGAGCAAGCTCCAGGAGTTGGTGATGGACAGGAAAGTCTGGCGAGCTGCAGTCCATGGGGTCACAAAGAGTTGGACATGACTGAGCTACTGAACTGAACTGATAAAGAAGGATTAAGAAATGAGAAAAATGGGAGAAAAGAAGAGCAAACAAGGTTTAGCAAGAGGTGATAATAGTAAAATTAATCCCCCATCAAAAGTTGCCAAGTTTTCAATGGTTTTAATAGCTTGCTTCAAAATTAAAATTCTTGTTCCTTAGACTTTACTTGGTTTCCATCAAAAAAGTGCAGAAGTTGACATTTTTGGTATTCACTGCAGCCCAGTGGTGAGGCATACCATCCCTTATGCCATTTACAGAGTGATTAGCCCACTCTTGTTAGATGAGAGCCCACTCGTGTTAGATGCCTTTTCTATCAGCAAGTCATTAGGCTATTGTAATGTTTATGGCATCTCCTGAAGCCTTTCCACCCACACAGTATTCATACTCACATTTACTTATTTATTGTGTACTTCGTGTTTATCAGCCACTGCTTATACTAAGCGCTGAGGTAAAATAGACTTGAAAAACAAACTTGTTAAGTAAATTGATACTTATCTTTTAGAGGTACACAGGATTGTGTTTTAACTGTAGTACATTGTGCGCGTGCTTAAAAGCCTAATATCTGGATACTTTTTATAGCTTTTAATGTATATTTAATCATTTTACATCATAAATCAGAATTTATACTAGAAAATAACTGATGGACTATACAAATGAATGTCTCTTAATCAACTCATGTTTAGTTTTTTTTTTAATTTTGGCCATGCAGCAAAACTTAGGGGATCTCAGTTCCCTGACAAGGGACTGAACCTGGGTGATGGCAGTAAAGTGCCAAATCTTAATCACCAGGAAATTCCCTAATAGGGTGTTTAAAAATTTGTCTTTTATTATGAAAAAATATATATAACATAAATTTGGTCCTTTTAAGCATTTTTAGGGTTACAATTCAGTGGCATCAGTAACACTCAGAATGTTTTCCAAAACTTTTTTATTATACCAAATAGGATCTGCATCCATTAAGCAATGATTCCCCATCCTCTCCATCCTATCTGTATCCTAATCAATTATTCATTCTTTATATGTAAACTCAGAAGAAGACTTCTTTGTAAAGCCAATCATGACAAAATAAATCACATCTTTTATACTACTTCTTAACTCTACATATTTTTATTATTGAATTTATCATCTCATTCTATAACTGTTCATATTCTTCTAGTTTTGAGTCATTTGATGATAAGATCCAGGAAACACAAACAATATGTCAGCAATTATTAAAAACCTTCATATTCTTTATGGTTAACATGATGTCTGGCACCAAGTAAGCACTCTTAACATTTTATCCAGTTAAAATGAATATTGTTAGTTGTGGCCTGGCACAGGCATAATTTAGCACAGAAAATGCTAGGCAGGCTCTTTCTGCTTAAAACATCCTTTACTTGGAAGGTTTATATGAAATATTATAATTTGTTTTAGGTTAATGTATTCTGAGTTCTGAACCCAATGTTTTAAAATGTAAATAAGGACTAAAAGAAATAATATATTAGAATCTGCCAGCAAAACCTTTAGTGCAAGCTAATTTATCAGGATCTTTCTCCAAAGACAGTGAAAAAATGATTTAACTTTGGAGGAGGAGGTGGAAAGAGAGAAGGGATATGCATATGATCAACTTCATTAAACTGTATACATAAAATATGTGTAGTTTTTTGTCTATCAATGAAGCTTCAATAAAGCTGTTAAAAAGAGAGAAGGGATAATTTTGTAAAAAGTAATTATTTCGAGATAAATATGATGCTACTTAGGTTGGGGGAGACAAATAATACATTAGAAGCTATTCAAGAAGAATTCGTCCTACTTTATAGTTTCCCAGGACATCTAATAAACCTTGCAATACTGTAATAACATTCATTCCTTTACAAAGACAAATGAAATCTACCCATCCACCAACTTGTACTTCAGTGTTAAGTCACTCAGTTGTGATTGACTCTTTGCAACCCCATGGACTATGGGAGAAGCTGCCAGACTTCTCTGCCCAGAGAATTTTCCAGGCAGGAATACTGAAGTGGGTTGCTATGCCTTTTTCCTGGGGATCTTCCCAACTCAGGGATTGAACCCGGGTCTTCTGCACTGCAGGCAGATTCTTTATAGTCTGAGCCACTAGGGAAGTCCCATAATTTATAATTTATACTCTACCTGATTATAAAAAGGATATGAAATTACATTAAAACATATGTCAGACACGACAGTTAAAAAGACATGACAGTCTCATTTTAAAAATGAGACCAGAGATATTGAATATAATTATTCTAAGAGCTAAGGAGAAGAGGATTGTAATAAATAGTGAATGATAGTTTTAAAACTTCTTGGCAACTTTTGAAAATAGGAAGGGAACTTTGCTTGAATGTTTTCTTTGAGCAATAAGATCATTCATATCTTAGAATACGCTAATCAGCCTTACATGGTGTTTTTGGAAGAGAAAAATATCCCATTCTTCAAGTATCCAGAAAGGAATATGGAATAAGGAAAATATTTGCTCACATATGGTTTGCTTAGATGCTAGATTCTATCAGAATATTTTTAAGTTAGATGTGCTAATCTTTCTGGAATCAAGTCATTGATTTACATGAAAGTATATTCTCTGCATATATGATTTTATGCATTATTTTTTAATTTTTTACAATTGAAGAAGACTTGATTTACAATATCATGTTAGTTTCAGGTGTGATGGAGGTGGTGGTGGTTTAATTGTTAAGTCGTGTCTGCATAGCAATTCATATATATATATATATTTATGAAACTAAATATTTTCTTCTTCAGATTCTTTTCCCTCAGAAGTCATTACAAAATATTGAGCATATTTCCCTGTATAGTTACATGCTTTAAATAAAATTTATATAAATTATTTTAATCTGTAGACCAGCCTAAATTCAAAGATTATGGTCATCAAAATAAAAACTGCTTTGCCTGGAAAGGAACATCACTAGTCTAATTTGAAATGGGAAAAGAATCACTGAATTACTTTGGTTTATGATTTGCATTCTATAAGACTAAACACTGGGAAGACCCAGAGGGATGGGGTGGGGAGGAAATGGGAGGGGAGATCAGGATGGGGAATACATGTAAATCCATGGCTGATTCATGCCAATGTATGGCAAAAACCACTACAATATTGTAAAGTAATTAGCCTCCAACTAATAAAAATAAATGGGGGAAAAAAAAAAGACCAAATCTCAGAACTACTTCCTCTTAGATAAAGCATAAAGAGCAAATGAGATAACTTCTTTTGAAGTCTGGGAATGTGTGGCCTGAAATGCAGTTAACTTATCATTTGAGACTTTCACTAATATTTGGCATAATTGCAATTTTGTAGCATGACAGGTCTTCAAGTTGTAAGCTATAAACCTTAACTGTTACATTTCCAAATAAACTGTTATTTCTCCACTGATGACATGGTGAAAACACTATGAAATATGAAGAAGTCATCGTTACAAATGGCAACATATATATTAAAATACAATTTTTATTTTGACCAGTAAGTCCTGAAATAAAATGTCCGAAGGAAGCTCTACAGCTAGCACTTTCTGCCCTGAGGGGGAGGAATAAAGCAAAGGAAAGTGAGAATGGGAAGTGCCTTACATAACTCTGCAATGACTGAGCTGACCAAGTAGGAAACAGTCTACACTGACTCCAGAGACCAAACGAACCAATGTTAATCTCTTAACTACCAAGATTATAATATTACTTCTGGTAAGACAGAAATAAAATGAGATAGAATGTAACACTTAAATACAATATATCTAAGCTGGTACATAAAATTATAGAAGATGAAATTGATAACAATGTTTTAGATATTATAACATTAACACATATATAGATGTTACACATTTATATAAAAAACTATGAGTTTTTGAACACTATTTAAAAATTATTATCAAAATAAGTTTTCTTCTCGACTATATCTGAATACCGAGTCAGACAGGAAAGTTAAGGTTATCAAAGAATTTTAAGTGCAGTAGCATATAATAAACTAAGCATATGTTAAAACATATATTTTGGAAGTCATCAGTTCAAAAGCTTTGTTGACTTTTTTATCACTGAGTATAAATTATGAGTTGAGATTTTCATAAATAGTGGGAAAACTTGGTAGAGAAAATAATTTATGATAAATAAAACTCTCTGTCAAAGAAAAAGAATATATCACTCAACATTATAGAAACAATGTTTAGCTTAATAGATCATTTAGCCATAAATTTTAAAATAGTATAATTATAGACAGCATCCTAACTCCATCAATTAACAGCTGCAACCCTAGTCTGGTCACTTAATTTTTCTTAAGACTTCAATTTCTCATTTGCAAAATGGACATCACTCTATCTGCCTCATAAGCAGTCATAATTATATGAGGAACTGTGTACAAAGGACTATATAGGTGTCTGGCACTAGTTAATCTGAAGTTTAGTATTACTATTTTATTACATCTCCTTCCAAATACGTCCACCAAAGCTGTCAACAGACTGCATTCTGCATTTTTAGGGACTGTTTCACTTTTAATTTTTATCACACCTGGAAAGTCAAGCATACATACTACTTCATTTTTCCATCAAATTAAAATTATCGTTAACTGGTCATGAAGCTCATTTCAGAAGATACAAACAAATCTTTCCTAAAATACGCTCTCAAGCCAGAAGGCTTGTTAATTTAAGAAAAACAAACAGCTTAAAATATCCTGTACTGCACACACATCTTCTGCCACATGGAGACATGAGGAAAGTTTCCTTGGTGGATCCCTCTAAGTTCAGTTGTAAGTGCCAACTCTTTTCAGTCATGTAAAGTTTTAGAAGACAAGACACACAGTCAACTTACTTGATGAAGATCATTTCCTAACGCATATTCTGCAAAGTAGCCCGGAGCAGCGGATGAAGCTCTGATGGCCTGCCACATTTTATACTGACAGCCTCCCAAATAGTGAGAGTTGATTCCAGGAAAATGTCCATAGTTTCTGAACACAAAGGCTTTTGGTGTTATCCCTCTGTTCACTATGGTACTTACTGCAGCGACCTAGTCGATTAAAAAGTGGACAATACGCATTGTAAGCAGCAATATTTGGGACTGTAAAAATTAAATATTACTTAGTGGTATGAATGAACACTCTACAACTCTACCCATCAAGGTAAAGTGTATAACATAACCCTAGTGTTAAGCAAAGGGAAGCAGATCCTTTTAAACAGGTTTTTCTTTTTTTTTTTTTTTTACGGGAAAACAGTTAGGGCTGGGACAATTTTGAGAAACGCATTATGAGAGAACAGTAATAAAAGATATTCTTTGACTACATGATTTGATCAGCTATTTAAAAAGACAAGAAGGCATAAATTTGCAGACCTTTATATGATACTGCAGTAGTAGCAATGAACAAAAGCTACTTAAAGGTGAATAATACACTATTTTCATATCACTTATAAATCACTCTGTTTCTGTGCTTTTTGAAAGTATTATGATTTTAGTAACTGAAACTCTAACATAATAAACTAATTTTCAAAGCTTTTTGATCATAGTTAATAACTGGAAGCTGGGTAATTATTTTTTTAACTAAAAAAAAACTAATCTTTATCACCTAGGGTCTTAGATTTTATCAATATCAGTTAAATTTATATAAAATGTGATGTATCTGTTAATAACCTGCAATATGAACTTTAAGAAGCTGAATGGTACCGGTGAGGCCTAAGTTGTTAGGGCTCTATGCCAAGTCCTGCAACAGGCCTGTGTGCTTTGCTATTTTATAAACCAAAAGTCACATTCCAAGGTCCTGTGAGTGACCCAAGTGTGGCCTACAGAGGCCACTGTGGGTAAGAGCTGACCACATACTAAAACCTAGAGTCTTTCCATTAATGGTATACAGGCAGGCTCAATTAAGAAATGTGTGGGTGGTTGCCTCATTTATCAGGAGTGAACTACTTTTTGAGGTGGCTGCAGTTCCCTCACACCCACTCTTTTTTTTTTTTTTAAGTCCGGCATCTGCTCACATTTTAAGAACAAATAAGAAGCCCTGAAGATACAGGAGAACAAACAAGAGGTGTAGCATTCATCTTTGGGTACTTTCCAAAGAGCTACTGCATCTCATCATCACAGCCTCACGCGGTCTGACGGAGCCACCTCTCCAGCCTCGTCGTACACGCTGCCCTTGGACCCCTAAGCTCCAACCTCTGGGGCCTGCATTTCTCGAAGGCTCCCCCTGTAGAGACTGTTCCCTTTGCCAGACTGCTCATCAGCCTTTACACTGAGACCTCAAAGTACATTTCCTTACAGCAGCCTTCCCTCATGTCCTTGTAAGTACATGATTTCAGAAAACTGTTTTTGTGTTCCACAGCACTTATTTCAGAAAACTGCATCTCATCTGTGTGATCATTTGACTAATGCTTCTTTGCCCTCCTGGACTGTAAACTCCATGCGTGCATTTACTCACTAATGTATCCAAAGTCCCCAGCACAGTGCTGGCACATGGGGTACCTAATTAATATCTTAAGAATGAATGAAAATATGTGTAAGCAGGAGTGAAAGAGCAATAGAGGGAGTTGTATTTGATTTTTCATGGTTACAGCTTGGTATTCAAGAATAAATACAAGCTGCATGGGATTCCTAGGTACATAAACCCTTATTCCTTAATCAAATAATGAGTCTTAATATAGGACACAGAACTCTAGCAATACTCAGATCACAAAATAAATAAAAAGAGGAGCCATACCAAGACATATTCTAGTAACGCTGACATTTTAAAAGTTGGGATTCCATTTGTATATTAATCTAATATATATTCAGGAGGCACATGAAGTTTCTTTAAAAAAATCTATGGGGGAAAATGCCACAATTTTCCTTAAATCCCTAATTAGATTAACCCTATAATAATTCTTTATCGTTAGTCCCAGTCTTTCATGTTCTTAAACTTTTGTTTTATTTTACTTGATATAGAAAAGCTCCAATGTTCACATTCTGTATCTTCATAAAATGACCCAATATATACGGAATCTATATAATCTACAGCAGTTCCTAAGAAAACTTTTCTCTTAATAAAGGGCCTTCATAATATTCCATTCACCTGACTTTCAATTTCATATAGGTGTTATAGTTAAAAGACTCTAAACTTACCTTAGGACATGTGGGGTTTCTCGCTGTTTCAATCATTAGTGAAGATCCCATCCTGTCCCTTTATTAAAGGAGAAGAATTAAATTATATCAAAATGATTTTATTTCCCAATATCAGGGAACATACATTATGCAGTCCCTGTTATGTGGTACAAAAAAGAAAAATCTCCTCTAGGAAGCTTACAATCCAACTAATGCACATAAAACAATATGTAGCTACCTGTTAACCTCCAAATCAAACTACAAGTATCTACAATCCTGCAGGAGGTTGGGTGTGGGGGGAGGAGTCAATACAGGCTTTCTTATCTAGGAAAGATGGATGGAGGTGTAGCTTGACAAGGACACCACTGATGGCAAGAAAACACATTAAAAGCCAGAACATATACAGAGTAAAGGCACAGAGGCAGAACAAATTTGTTGTTTTCAGGGTCCTCCTGATAGGATAAAGGAACTGTGCTGAAATAAGACTGCTGAACTATGGCAGGCTATATATAGAGCAGTCTAAAAACCAGATCAAGACATTCAGACTTCAAACCTGTTTTAGCAATACAGAGCCTATGCCACCCCCCAAAAATGCTTTTTAAACCGTCTGAACTGGCATTTGAACTATTGCAACATTATAGAAATTACCCTTAGGCAGCAATTTTCACAATTCCATTACAAGGAAATTTTATTCAGTGCCTATTTTTTTTCCAGACTTAAAAATTATGTATTTTTCCCCTGTACTGAATATAAAGAACTTTTTTTTTTTTTTACCAACTTGCCTCAGTAAGGAAAAAATGCCTTTCTAACAACATTTTTTTCAAACACTACTTACATTTCTCAACTAGAATATTAGTGAATTTCACATATTTAAAAATTAGGTAGCAATATACCCTTTATTATCTTTTATAAATACGATGTAAAATGCTTTCTATAAAGGACGAGATCTTTGTCTTCCACAACCAGATCTACATGTTTCTTCTGCATGAAGATCAAGGTAATTTTGTTCTCCTAAGGGTCTTTCACTTTATCTTTTCATAGACATCTTCTGTAAGATTGGGACAGAGATCCTCGAAGCATGCTACTTTCACACTTTAAGCAAAGGTCACATTTTTGTTGTTGTTTAAACCTTAATTTTATAAAGAGCTAAAATGTTTTAGTGAATTGTTATGAATATAAATTTGAAGAGAAAATCAAAACATTAATTGCTTATTTTAGAGAAATGCTAAAATAAAATAAAACATTCCCAGAGTCTACTGATGTTGTAATTAAAAATAGTGTCCATTAAGTAACACAAAATCATTATCCCCGGGGAAAAAGAACATAAAAATGTTCTCAATAAACAATGAGAGAAAGAAAAATGACCCAAAAGGCCAGGGAATGGGCATGGTAGAGCATTAACAGCAAGGCCTTCACTGAATTTTCCAATCTTCCCTTTCTGATTTCCATATCTTTGTATATAATCCCTTTCCACACAGATCCTGGGTTTGAGTGGTTTTGGTCAATAGGACATCAGCAAACATGTCATTAAACTAAGGTCTGGTGAGTCCTCATGCTCTGGGCTTGCCCTGATGGGATTCTGAGACTGCCACAGTGGGATAAAGCCCAGGAGGAGAGAGACCAGTTGTCCCGGCCATCTCAGCTGAGCTGCCCACTGGCCGCCAGCAGCCATGAGTGAGTTCAAACCACAGAATCATGAGACTTAATCATGACCTAAAAAAAAAACTTAAACTTTAGGACTAGAAAATAGTACAAAGATTTGCCTGATTTCGATGTAGAAAACATTTTCTAAATATCAAAGTTTAAAATTAAAGGAAAATATTTGACTACATGAAGATTTTAAGCTCACATTAAAAAATACTGTTAATTAAACAGCACATTTTCAACATATCAACAAATGATTAATACATTTAAAATACAGTGCACAATGTCCCAGTAGGAAAATGAGCAAGTACTATGCTCTTGAAATCTGCACACTAAAAAGTAATTTTTAAAAAAATGTTCAAATTTATCAATAACCAACGTGATGCCAACTAGAAATACCAGTTAAAAATCTCTAAAACTGATGAAGTTTTAAAAATTAAAATACTTGGTGTTAAGTAATTCATGAAATGGAAACACAAATTGATGCTGGTGGCTAAGCTGGGACAACTGATTTAAAGAACAATTCAGGTATACACATATATCTATCTTTAAAATGATTCTTAAAACATGTATACTCTCTGACCCAAAAAATTTCACTGAAGAAGTTTATCTCAAATACATAACCAGAGATTTAAGTAGAGATGCAGGGTATCCACCAAAACTTTATTTTAGGGGCAAAAATATCTGAAATGTCCTCTTTTTTCACTAGGAAATTTGTTAAAAAATAGAACATCCATTAAATTGACTGTGAACAATCATTAAAACATGTCTCAAAAAATATCTAATGACATAGGAAACCAATCAAAATAAAATGCTAAGTGAAAATGCATATGAATTATCATCCCAATTTTATGAATGGTATGAATAAAACACATACTCACAACCTCACACACACATACACTTATTTATCTCTGAGAAATTCTAGAAAAATGTACATCACCATGTTAATGGTGCTTTTGGTCTCTGCAGAACTATACATTTTCACTATTTTCTTTCTATATTTTCTATTTCATATTTAATAATTACTTTAGAAAAACATCAACAGTGACCCCATAATTATGCCTCTTATAAACTGACCTACAGATATATTCTGAAGTGTGGGCAGAAATGTAAACTCTCCTATAACAGCACTGTTCATCATCACAAAAAAAATCTGAAACATAAATGTCCTAAATATTAAGATATAAATCTTAACACTAGGTTAAGAAAATATGGCATCACCCTGCAGAATGTAGCAGTCTTTTTTAATAAAGTTGAAAAAAGGGGAAAAGACAGAAAATTGTAATTACAATATAACTTCTACCATATAAAATATATATGAAAATATCTATAATCTAGGGAAAAAAATTAGAAAATATAAGGTCTTTGGCTCTGAATAAGACTGTGGGTGATTTTAAGTTTCTACTTTACACTTATATTTTTAGAAAGTGAGCATAACAGCTTTACAGTATTTTGAGGAAAATGTTTAAAATTATTAAATCTTTTAGAACAATATCTGTTAATGACTTGAGAAAGGCTAATACTTACTATGCTTTTTTAAATAAGGCCGGTGAGCACCTGTGGATTCTGGTACCCTGAGGGTTCCTGGAACCAACCCACTGAAGATGCCTAGGGGAAACTGTATGTGAAGGAAAAACAGGAGGCAAACATGTCCCATATACAATGTGGTTGCAACTTTTAAAAAGGTGACTGCAATTTTTACAAACCAATCTCACACATGTGAACCCAACAAAGGAGTGAATAGAATACAATTCACCAATATATTAACAGTGGTTATTTCTAATGAATGAGGTCAACAATTGAGTATTTACATTTTTCTGCTTTGTTTAAATACAAGACATTTTTAAAAAGAATAAATACAACTTACTTCAGAATGTTTTCCCATGTTTGACTGTCATAAAATGCATGGCTCCAACTCATTTTGACTGTTCCAACAATGACATTTTGTGAAAACACATCTGATCCTAATTTTCGATAAAGTTCCTCACATTCATCCAGGGGCATATGAAACAATCCCAACATGAAGGCTAATATAGCACCTGAAAGAAAGAATCCTTAGTTTTTATCAGCACGACCATTATAGTACTTATAAGATCTTCTGAGTCACAGACCTGGTTAAAATTCTAGCTTTCATACTTTTTGACTGCATCACTTGAGACAAACCTCTTAACCTCCCAGAGGTCTAATCCTGTTCATCTATAAAATAAGGATAATTACAATGACTAAAATTTATACATTATTGTAACACTGGGATAACACATGTAAAGGGCGTTACCAGGCCTCAAAGAAGATTCAACAAATACTAACCACTGATGATAATTTTAAAATATATAAAAAGGTGCTATTATACGTTAAATAACATATAATTAAGATACTGTGGTAGGTAATGTCCTTTCTAACCTTAATTCCTTAGTTTTAGTCATAGAATACAGTATATTTGACAACTTATCAACTCATTAAAATAATTACACCTTCAGGTTGGTCCCAGGAACTCACATAACAAAGAAATTAGGTCTCTGGGATGTCTTTTTAAACAGTTGACTTAATACCCTAGCTGCAACTGATATCACACACTGCCATCTAGTGTACCTAGCTGGCATTACCCTGAACTAAGGAGGAAAAGGGGAGAAGAATGCTTTGGGGGATGCAGAGAGAGTGTGAGGGGCAAAGATCCGTATGGCATCACTGCTTACAAAAAGAAACAAAAATAGTAAATCATTATCATAATGCCTTTTAAATATTTTATGTATTTTTTAAGTCTTTTTCTAGTAAAAGAAGTCTTCAGCTTGTTTTAAAATTCACTGTATGGTATAACTATGTAACAGAAATTGCTATTTATCAAGTTTCAGAAAATGTTTACACTAGAAATAACCTGCCAAAAAAATTAAGTTGCTTTTAAGGAAAGCTACAATAAAGATAAACAGATATTTAAAAAACTGAATTTACTGCAGGAGTAGAAAAAAGAACAACAGAGATGTTAACCTTCAACTAAATATGTATTTTTAACTTTACAAAAACTATATGTGCAAACAAAAGTTTTATATTAGAATATACAAAATGAAAAAAGAAAGGAAGATCATGAGCACTATAAGTTAAGGTTAACATAATCAAGAAGACACAGCGGAAAAGATACACTGTGGTAAGTGCAGAAATGCACGTGTCACACAAGATACTCTACTCCATGGATGAATCTCTGATTTAAATCCCCCTTATTGAGCATCCACCTACTAACCATGGTGCCAAAGCAAGAAGTTAGCGTGTAGATACATTTAAAGTTATGAGTTGCTAGGACCATTTCAAATATTAACAGAAATGGCCAGGATAACAGCTTCAGGAAAAAAATTCCAAGAACATTTGCCCTGGGAAAGGTCTCTTTAAGAAAAGTTTCCATAGTTAAATAATTGGGTATATAAGTATTACTTTCCTATCCTGTATTACTTTCCTATCCTGCTGGAGAAGGAAATGGCAACCCACTCCAGTACTCTTGCCTGGAAAAATCCCATGGACGGAGGAGCGTGGTAGGCTACAGTCCATGGGGTCGCAAAGAGTTGGACACGACTGAGCGACTTCACTTTTTTTTTTTTTCCTATCCTGAGAGTGAGTCTCAATGCATTTTTAACATACTAGAAGATCTAAGAAGTGCCTCTGTAAAGAAAACTGTTTGACTTTCTTTGTATGTGTTAGTCGTTCAGTCATGTCTGACTCTTGAGACCCCACGGACTTCAGTCCACCAGGTTCCTCTGTCCATGGGATTTTCCAGGCAAGAATACTGGAGTGAGTTGTCAGGCCCTCCCCTAGGGAACCTCCCCGGCCCAGGGATCGAAGCTGGGTCACCTGCATTGCTGGCCGATTCTTTACCATTTGAGCCATCAGGGAAGCCCCTTAACTTTCTTTAACCCAGGCTTTTCCAAATTTGCTATCATCTGAGGAATCACTGTTTAGTGGAACATCACAGGAATCATTCAACTCCTTATGCTTCTGAAATTATCCCCACAACTGTTATTGAGTTTTCAAAATGGAGCATAAATTAACATGCCCTTTGGGAATATGTCACACTTGATCCAGATAATACAGAGAAACCATTTGGCTTTGATGCTGCTAGTCTTCAGGACCACTATCATAATTCTAAAGAATGAGAAAAAAACAGAAAAAAAACTCTGCGATGATGAACTAATGTAAAGTAAGGAACTCTCAGGTACAGCAGGGATCTGTGATGCTAACAGTCCTTGAGCGTTCCCCGGGCAGCAGGCAACAGCCCGGGTCCCTGAGAAGCCTCCTGGATGTACACACAGGAGAGCAGGCGCTGGGGGTGGGGTGGCAGTGACACACGGCTGAGATGCTGATACAGGAAACAAAAACAAAACCAACGGAAAGCAAGCAAACATTCATCTGATGGCGAGTCAGTGAAAAACTGAAAGTTATTCAGAAACAACCATATTCTAACTTGCCAATTTCTTCTACATAAATATGAAACTAGAATTTTAAATGTACATCAGTTAGGAATATTAGAGTAGCAAAAGTGTCCCTCTGTGAGGAAATTGCTTCTTATATCCTTTTTTATCTACTTGTCTGAAATCAAAACTTAAAACAGATAAATGTGAGAATCCATTTAAAACACTTCCTCACAGAGGGACACTTTCCAAAAGAAAGCAAAATCTTATCCATCCTTGATGTTCTATTGGTTCAAGTACAATTCTGAAGACCCACCATTTTGTGGGCTTCCCTGGTAACTCAGATGTAAAGAATTCACCTACAATCCAGGAGACCCAGGTTTGATCCTGGGTAGGGAAGATCCCCTGGAGAAAGGAATGACAACCCACTCTAGTATTCTTGCCTGGAGAATCTCATGGACAGAGGAGCCTGGCGGGCTACATGGGGTTGCGAAGAATTGGACATGACTGAGCAACTAACACTCACTTTTTCACCATTTTGTTACTTTCCTTAAGACAATTAATTTACAAATTGTTCTTGTCACTGTGGCTTATTTAAAACACATTAGAAAAGGACACTAAAATCTATTTCTAAATGTTAACTTATTTCCAATAAGCATTTTTAAAAGTTCATTAAGCAAATTAAAGGACTATTCAGTATCAAAATATGAAACTAACAGCCATCATTTCAGGAAATGACCATGATCTTAATCATGAGAGTTTAATGTTCTTTTTCTTAAAGCACTGCTGGGATGTACCACTTCCATATAATAACAATTACCTGTGCTTACACCACAAATGTAATCGAAGAGTTGATGAACTGGCTTCTGAGTTAGTTCAACCAATTTTCGTAGTGTCTGAAGAGCAACCACACCCCTGTAGGAAAAATAAAAGGCAAAAATGAGAATTCCTATTTTAAGGAAAGCTAATCTAATCCCATCTAATCCCATCACTTCATGGGAAATAGACAGGGAAACAGTGTCAGACTTTATTTTTTGGGGCTCCAAAATCACTGCAGGTGGTGACTGCAGCCATGAAATTAAAAGACGCTTACTCCTTGGAAGGAAAGTTATGACCAACCAAGATAGCATATTTAAAAGCAAAGACATTGTTTTGCCAACAAACGTCCACCTAGTCAAGGCTATGGTTTTTCCAGTAGTCATGTATGGATGTGAGAGTTGGGCGGTGAAGAAAGCTGAGTGCCAAAGAACTGATGCTTCTGAGCTGTGGTGTTGGAGAAGACTCTTCAGAGTCCCTTGGACTGCAAGGAGATCCAACCAGTCCATCCTAAAGGAGACAGTCCTGGGCGTTCACTGGAAGGACTGATGTTGAAGCTGAAACTCCAACATTTTGGTCACCTCATGCGAAGAATTGACTCACTGGAAAAGACCCTAATGCTGGGAAGGATTGGGGGCAGGAGGAGAAGGGGACAACAGAGGATGAGATGGCTGGATGGCATCACCCACTCGATGGACATGGGTTTCGGTAGACTCTGGGAGTTGGTGATGGACAGGGAGGCCTGGCGTGCTGCGATTCAGGGGTTTACAAAGAGTCAGACATGGCTGAGTGACTGATCTGAACTGAACTGAATCTATTGACTAAAAAAATCCCTGGTTTTCTAGTTTATAGGCTAACATGAAAACTAGTAATATAAATTAGCATCAGTTAAAATTGCCAAAGGTTTCTGGATTGCTTTTGAAAATACAGTATCTAAATAATGGTATTAAAACCTAGGTTACGGCAGCACATTTTGAATTGACACTAGTATCTCTTTAAATAAGACAATGAAGATATGGCAATATAAGGTATTTTAGCAGACACTATAACTCTGGAAATTCCTTAAACTCTGTATTCACCGGTTTTGGGATGTCATGCATTGGTTTCTCCACTTACCAACATGGTGGTAACCTGTGCCTCTACACATTTCATTTTCTGTAACTCATCAGTCATATTTTTAAGCTTTCTTTTATTCATTCATTTTTTTAAAACTCTCAACTATCTCAAGACAAGGTTCAGCAATAACGAGGTATTAATTTATGCTGCTGAAATTTGTTCATTTCTGAATCCTCACCAAAGGCATCTTTCAAATGTGAAAGATGAAACAGCCTAGGAGATGCAGGCCAATTCAGGGTGTGTGTAATAGGTGGACAATCCTTAATACTGGAGGATATACATACACAATTAAAAGTTTTAGTCTCAATACAAGGTGTGGAGCAGAGAACACTGTATTAATCTGGTACCATAAAATAAAATCTAGTGTCAAATTGTGCTTTGATATTGCAAGCACAAAGTCACTAGAAAATATTGTAGTATTAAAGTAGAAAAATGAAAGATTATTATTAATTGTAGAAATAATGTAAATTCAAAGACAGCTGATAAGACAAGATGGTTTATGAGAGACACTGCAGATTTAATGTGCCTTTAATGTGAGACATGAAGAATTAAAGATCATGCCGGATAAAATATATTTAACAGTGTGCCCTCCATTACCTTATGAAAAGGAAAATAAAACATGCACACACACGCACATAAATATATATATTCATACCGAAAAAATATTTGAAGAAATAAATCAAAATAGTAAAAATAATCTTGGATATGTGAGATATGACTGTTATGTTTGGCTTGTTTCTCTTTATATTTTTTTCCTCCCAAGTTTTACTTGTATAAGCCAGAAGAAAACTGTTTTTAAAATGCAGTGTTCATAAAGTAATTCTGGACAAATTTTAAAATCAGTATTATTTCTAGGTCAATTCTATGTTTAATGCTGTACCAGGCTCTGTTTTGTAAAAGAAATCTAGGGCATGGGTTCCTTTTCCCCTGAGCCTTCTTATCTTACTCGTTCTATACAAATTTCCCACCCTAGCTGCTTTCTCATAGTCCCCTAAACCAGGGTTTCCCAACAGCAACATCATTGACATTTTGGGCAAGATATTCCTTTGCTATAGGAATTATTCCAGGCATTGCAGGATATTTAGCACCAATTGTTCTCTTCTCACGAAATTAAAGCAGGGATCCCCCAGTTGTAATAAGGAAAAAATGTCTCCAGACACTGAAAAATATTCTCCAGGGGGCAAAATCATCTCCAGTGGAGATAATCACTGACCTCAACCCACCTTCATCCTAACCAATCTCTGGATTTTCCCAAATGTCTTCACTTCAATTTTTCCCTGTATTGACTAATAAAACAAAATCAAATACTCTTCGGTCACAAGCCTCTTTTCACTCTATAGATCCCTCACTCTAAACAGACATTTGAATGCTCTTTACGGTTCTTATTTCAGATCTCAACTCAAATGTTATTTCTTCAAAGACTCACAATCATGATCACTCTTTAAAACAGCACTGTTATGCTCTATCCCTTCACTTTGCCTTATTTTTCTTCATAGCACACATTATACATTTCTGTTTTTCTAGTTGTTATCTCTTAAGGGAAGGGTAGAGATGGCACGGAAGTAGAGCACAAGCTAGAAATTTTAGGGGGAAAAGATTTATAAAACCAAGCCAAAGTGTCTAGCCAACAAATAATAAGGAACTACACAATTAGCAAGCATGGATGGATTGCCAGTAGTAAGAAAGGAGTCTGATGGTGAAACTGGTGAATTTTACCAATTGGTGAAAGGAAATGGTAAAATCTCCTTCTGAGCTAAGAATGCATTAAATATTTCTTGTGCACACCAGAACTGGCATCTACAAGATGTAGGGAGTCGAAGTTACTGATATAGGCTCCTTTTCTAACAATCACTTTATTACTAGTTGACTAATACATACAGGTAAGATACACACAATAAAAGAAAGGTAACATTATACAATATTGCCAAAATTTTAAGAGAATCATGGTCGATAAACTGTCCTAAACTACCAAAAATGTCTGAGAAGATCAAACTAAAACATAAAGACTAGGTCACATTAAAATAAAAGGAAATTCAAGTATATATTAAAATAAGTTCTTAGAATTAAAAGTTCTTAGATTGATAAATCAGTAAATCAAGAAAAATAATTTTGTTTCACTTTAGAATTTGATTTTATAATGACATAATTATACTGAATCAGTTCAAAAAATTCTTACAATTGAACCGATCTATAGGTATGCTTTTTTTCAACTGATGTGTAATTGCATACGACATTGTACTAGTTTCACATGTGCAATGCAATGATTCAACATTTGTATGCACTGCAAAATGACCACCCCATCTGTTACCATATAAAGTATAAATTTTTTTCCTTATGATGAGAACATTTAAGATTTACTTTTTAAAGCAACTTTCAAATTTGCAAATACAGTATGATTAACTACAGTTCCTATGCTGCACACTACATCCCCATGACTTACCTATTTCATAATTGGAAATGTGTACCTTTCACTTCTCTTCACTCATTTCACCCACCCTCCAACCTGCCTTCCATATGGCAACTACCAAGCTCTTCTCTGAGTCTTTGAATTTTCTCTTGCTTTGTTTTCATTTCTTTTTTTTTTCCCATTTATTTTTATTAGTTGGAGGCTAATTACTTTACAATATTGTAGTAGTTTTTGTCACACATTGATATGAACCAGCCATGGATTTACATGTAGTTTTTGTTTCTTATATGTCATATATAAGTAAGATCAAATAGTATTTGTCTTTCCCTGTCTGACTTATTTCACTTAGCAAAATAACCTCAAGTTCTACCTATGCTGTCACAAATGACATTTCATTCATTTTTATGGCTAAGCAGTATTCCTGTGTGTGTGTGTACACACATATCCCTCACATATTCTTTACACATTCATCCATCAATGGACACAGATTGTTTCTACATCTTGGCTATTGTAAATAATGTTGTAACAAACAAAGGTACAGATATCTTTTCAAATTAGTGTTTTCATTTTTTTCTGATAAATACTCAGAGAGTGAAATTGTTGGATAATATGGTAGTTCTATTTTTTTTATTTAGGATCTATAGTTTTAAAAAGATCATTTTTCTAATACACTAATGGACAGAGAAAACAGTCTTATAGTCACCAAGGGGGTGAGGGTTGGGGAGAGATGGAGTGGGAGTTTGGGGTTAGCAGATATAAGCTATTATTTATATACAGAATGGATACACAACAAAGTCCTACTGAACAGCACAGAGAACTCTTTTCAATATTCTATGATAAACCATATTGGAAAAGAATATATTAAAAAAATAATGTATGTATGTTATAACTGCATCACTTTTGTTATACAGCAAAAATTAAAACAACATTGCAAATCAACTAACTTCGGTAAAAAGAATTTTTAAAAAAATCATTTTTCTAGCTTTACCTGGTTCCTCCACCATCAATTGAGAGAATTCTGATTCCTCTTCCTTTCACTGGATCCACATAGCCAATTAAGGCCAAAATTTCTCTAACTGCAGCCTGTAGAGTTTCATCCTTAATTTGTCTCAGTCGCAGTAAGTAAGGAATAATTTTTTCCTATATTGAAAGTAAAGACATTTTGCTGCTTTTGTCACAAGAGTGAAAATATATCATTGTTTTTAATCAACACATGTAGATCATCTCATGTAATCAGAATGCCAGTGTTTATTACTTTCTCAGTAATCTTAAATGATAGACTAGCTTTTTACATATTACTGTTAACTAATATTTAGAATGTATCTGTCCTAATACCCAGGCCAAAAATTAACTTCAATCCAAATATTTTTTAAAAGGTGTAGTGCTGAAAAATTAGAGAAAAAGCCATTTGCTTAACACAAATTTACAAAGTACTGTTACAACAAAAGGTTAATGTAATATAGTTCACACAATATTTTGTCTGAATCCTAAAGAGGATGAAATTGCTTCATAGTAATTATTGGAAATTAAACTTGTTATTAACAGAAAATAATAAACCATCTCGTGTATACTGCATATGGAATACAAGGGTAGCTCATTGTGAAATATGAACAAGTGTTAATAAATAAAACTAAGGTAGAAGGCAAAGGGTGACCATTACAAACAAGTAATTAGTTTAAACAAACCTGAGACCTCAAGATTCTAAGCATTCAACTTCATATTGTTGATCAAAGGTAGGAGACTAAATAAATCCTAGGGGTTCTATGTTGAGTTTACCTGAGCTTCTCTAGCTACTATACACAGAAGCATCTCATCTTGTCAGCACCCCAAGTTTAAGAGAACAACTGAGTCACAGCTATACTTGTGCTTTGCCGTTGTTCAGTCATGTCCAATCCTTTATGACCCCCTGGACTGCGGCAGGCCAGACTTCCCTGTCGTTCAGTAAATCAAGTGACCTCACAAGGCTGCAGTCATTCTGTCTACTATGATAAATCAGATTTGGAAGGGGGATAACTGCTGGGAAGTATAACTTTTCTTCCCTTGAGGCACTTGCTGATTTGGGGAAGAAAAAAGGGATTGAAAAGCTGGGCTTGGTTCAGACAGCGGGCCATGAATGGAGGCCAGAGAAATCAGCTAAGCATTTAGAATCTCAAGGGTTTGGAGCCACAATACTGAAGCCTTGAGGGGCCTCAATCACATGACTGGTTTCACCTCAAGACATTTGCTAGATTCTTTATGTGGAATGACAAGTTCAAAAGCTAGAATGAAAAACTCTGAATATGAGAATGGGATTTTCTGTAGTTTTGAGATTTTAGTGGTCAAGAGGGTGGTGGTGGTAGAGAGCACGCCAGGTTCTGAACTAAAAGTCCTAGAAGAATATACCTTAAAAATTGGGCAAACTAGAGGTGTCAGCCAATTGTAAGCCAGCCATGACGCAGCTCTGACCCTAACTTAACTGAAGCTATTGGTGCCTCACTCTGTATGTCAAGTAAAGGAACAAACAAGACTATCTCTGGAAAAAGAAATCATCTGACATGGTCTAGAGCCTATGCAATATTCAAAATTTACAACATCCAGCATCCAGGAAAATTATTAGGTATGTGAATCTGGTACCAAACGACCAAACACCAAAAGGTGATCTTGATGTTATTATAATAGAATAAAAATAACAAAAATAAAATTACTATCCCCAAACATATGTGTGTGTGTGTGTGTGTGTGTGCGCGTGTGTGTGTGTGCTCAGTCCCGTACGACTTTTTGCAATCCTATGGACTGTAGTCCACCAGGCTCCTCTGTCTGTGGAATTCTCCAGACAAGAATACTGGAGTGGGTTGCCATTTCCTCCTCCAGGGCATCTTCCCTACCCAGGGATCAAACCCAAATCTCTCACATACCTAGGAATTAAATTTTCAAAAAATCTTAAAAAGATATACAACACATCTACATTGAAAAGTTTTTAAATATTAAGTGCCCTGGTCTGAATATTTGTGTCTTCTCAAGATTTCATATGTTGAAATCTTAACTCTCCCAAAATGACAGTACTAGGAAGTGAAGCCTTGGGAATGTGCTTGGTCATGACGGTGGAGCCTTTATGAATGGGATTAGTGCCCTTATGAAAGAGGCTCCAGAGAGAGCCCTCGGACACTCCACCAGGTGAGGACACAGTGAGAAATCACCCGCTGTGAACCAGGAAGAGGGCCATCTTCAAGAGCAATTATGTTGGCACCTTGATTTTGGACTTCCAGCTTTCAGAACTCTGAGAAATAACTGTCTGCTGTTTCTAAGCTACCCAGTTGGTGGCATTTGTTATAACACAGCATCCCTAATAGACTAAGACGTTGAGGGAAAATAAAAACAGTCCAAATAAATGGAAGGAGACATGATTTTCAAGGCTTGGAAGACACTACTGTAAAGACTTAATTCACCACAATCACTCCATAAATTTAATGTAATCTCAGAATGATTTTCTTATTTTTAAATTTTTTTGATAGTATCAAATTCCCCAAGAAAAAAAAATGAAAAAAAAAAAAAGTTGTCTGAGGAAGACTTACATATACCTGAGGAAAGAAGAGAAGTGAAAGACAAAAGAGAAAAGGTAAGATAAACCCATATGAACGCAGAGTTCCAAAGAATAGCAAGGGGAGATAAGAAAGTCTTCCTAAGTGAACAATGCAAAGAAATAGAGGAAAACAAAAGAACAAGAAAGTCTAGTGATCTCTTCTAGAAAATCAGAGATACCAAGGGAACATTTCATGCAAAGATGGGCACAAAAAAGGACAGAAATGGTATTGCCCGAACAGAAGCAGAAGATATTAAGAAGAAGAGGCAAGAATATACAGAAGAACTGTACAAAAGAGATCTTAATGACCTGGATAACAATGATGGCGTGATCACTCACCTAGAGCCAGACATCCTGGACTGTGAAGTCAAATGCGCCTCGGGAAACATTACTACAAACAAAGCTAGGGGAGGTGATGCAATTCCAGCTGAGCCATTTCGAATCCTAAAAGATGATGCTGTGAAAGTGCTGCACTCAATATACCAGCGAATTTGGAAAACTCAGCAGTGGCCACAGGACTGGAAAAGGTCAGTTTTCATTTCAATCCCAAAGGACAATGCCAACGATGTTCAAACTACCGCACAATTGCACTCATTTCACATGCTAGGAAGATTATGCTCAAAATCCTCCAAGCTAGGCTTCAACAGTATGTGAACCAAGAACTTCTAGACGTTCAAGCTGGATTTAGAAAAGGCAGAGGAACCAGAGATCAAATTGCTAACATCCGTTGGATCATAGAAAAAGCAAGAGAATTCCAGAATAACACCTACTTCTACTTCATTGACTATACTAAAGCCTTTGACTGTGTGGTGTGAATCACAAAGAAGTATGGAAAATTCTGAAAGTGATGGGAATACCAGACCACCTTACCTGCCTCCTGAGAAACCTGTATGCAGGTCAAGAAGCAACAATGAGAACCAAACATGGGACAATAGACTGGTTCCAAATTGGGAAAGGAGTGTGTCAAGGCTGTATATTGGCTTTCTGTTTATTTAATTTATATGCAGAGTATATCATGTGAAATGTGGGCTGAACAAAGCACAAGGTGGAATCAAGATTTCTGGGAGGAACATCAATAACCTCAGATATGCAGACGACAACACCCTTACAGCAGAAAGCAACAAGGAACTAAAGAGCCTCTTAATAAAGGTTAAAGAGGATAGTAAAAAAGCTGACTTAAAACTCAACATTCAAAAAACAAAGATCATGGCATCCAGTCCCATCACTTCATAGCAAATAGATGGGGAAACAATGGAAATAGTGAAAGACTTTATTTTCTTGGGCTCCAAAATCACTGTGGACAGTGACTGCAGTCATGAAATTAAAAGATGATTGCTCCTTGAAAGGAAAGCTATGACAAACCTAGACAGTGTATTAAAAAGCAGAGACATTACTTTCTCAACAAAGGTCCATATAGTCAAAGCTATGGTTTTTCCAACAGTCATATACAGATGTGAAAGTTGGAAGATAAAGAATGCTGAGTACTGAAGAATTGATGCTTTTGAACTGTGGTGTTAGAGAAGACTCTTGAGAGTCCCTTGGAATGCAAGGAGATCCAACCAGTGAATCCTAAAGGAAATCAATCCTGAATACTCATTGGAAAGACTGATGCTGAAGCTGAAGCTCTGATACTTTGGCCAGCTGATGCTAACAGCCATCTCATTGGAAAATACCCTGATGCTGGTAAACATAAAAGGCAGGAGGAGAAAGAGACGGCAGAGGATGAGATGATTGGATGGCATCACCAACTCAATGGACATGAATCTGAGCAAGCTCCATGAGATGGTGAGGGACAAGGAATCCTGGCGTGCTCCAATCCATGTGGTCACAAAGCATTGGACACAACTGAGCAACTGAAAAACAACAAAGCTAATTCTAAAATTTATACAGAAGCACAAGTGCCAAGAATAACTAAGCCAATTATTAAGAGGAAGAACAATGCTGGAAGATTTATACTACAGACATCAAATTTATTACAAAGCTACAGTAAATTGGGCTTCCATAGTAGTTCAGATGGTAAAGCATCCACCTGCAATGCAGGAGAGCCAGGTTTGATCCCTGGGTTGGGAAGTTCCCCTGGAGAAGGAAACAGCAACCCAATCCAGTATTCCTGCCTGGAGAATTCCAAGGACAGAGAGCCTGGTGGGCTACAATCCATGGGGTTGCAAAGAGTTGGACATGACGGAGCGACTAACACACACAATAAATTAGACAGTACAATATTTAAACAAGGATAAACAATGTATTAACAGAAAAGAATACAGTGTTCAAAAATATATCCATAAATAATCACCTGATTTACAATGACACTCTTCAATAAATGGTGCTAGGTCAACTGGATATAGGCATTTCATAAAATCAAGGCTCCTACCTCACACTATACAATCTAAACTATTCTAGATAGTATACGATATTCTATAATAGTATATATGTAAAAGTGAAAGCAATAAAGTTTCAGAACCAAACACAGGATCAATCTTTGCCTGATTTTAAAACAGGCAAAGATTTCTTAAATAGGACACAAAGTGCTAATCATAAGGAAAATATTTATAAACTGTAGTATATTAAAATTAAGAACATCTACTCATCAAAAACCATTAGAAAGAGCGAAAGGTAACCCACAGAGTAGACAAATATATTTATAAGACACATACATGTATAACATATACAGATGTTATAATATATAAAGACATATCCATAATTAATAAAGAAAATTTCCAAGTCAAATAGAAAAGGCTGATCAACCCAAAAGAAAAATGAGCAAGACCTGGCCTAGGTGCTTCATGAGGGCAGTAAACAGTTCAGCTCAGTCACTCAGTCATGTCCAACTCTTTGCGACCCCACTGACTAAAGCACGCCAGGCTTCCCTGTCCATCACCAACTCCTGGAGCTTGCTCAAACTCATGTCCAAAGAAGTCAATGATGCCATCCAACCATCTCATCCTCTCTCATTCCCTTCTCCTCCTGCCTTCAATCTTTCCCAGCATCAGGGTCTTTTCCAATGAGTCAGTTCTTCCCATCAGGTGGCCAAAGTATTGGAGCTTCAGCTTCAGCAGTAAACAAATGGCCAATAAACACTGGAAAGCTGCTGAACTTCACAGTTACCAGAGAAGTCAAATTAAAGCCACAATTTAAATCACTAAACATCTAACAAAATGGCTAAAATAAGAAGATATTATAAGGCACTGGAGAGGAAGAAGCATAACCAGAAGGCTCATACAATCCTGGTGAAAGTATCAACTGATAAAAGCACTTTGCAAAACCATCTGGCAGTGCTCACAAAGATGAGAACAGGCATATTCTATAAGCAGGACTGCTGCTGCTGCTGCTGAGCTGCTTCAGTCGTGTCCGACTGTGCGACCCTATCAACTGCAGCCTGCCAAGAACCTCTGTTCATGGGATTCTCTATGCGAGCAAACTGGAGTGGGTTGCCACATCCCCCTCCAGGGTATCTTCACGACCTAGGGATGAAACCTTGGTCTGCTGCATCACAGGCAGCTTCTTTACTGCTGAGCCCCCAGGGAAGCCCAAGCAGGACTGCTACTCTTATGTTTTCCAAAAGACACATCCCAGAAGTACTATTCCCAAATATTACCAAACAGGAAGCTATCCAAATGTCCGCGACATTGCACTATATCATTCAACAGAATGCATAACAATGAGAATAAATGTTTCTTAGCTACACTCATCAGTATAGAAGGTTCTCACAAACAGAATGCTGACGGGGGTGAGGGGACATAAAAGAGCACATTTGGTGTCATTCCATTTATATAACAAGCAGAAAAAGGTACTACTAACTAATCTATTCTGCTAGAAAACTGGTCAATCTTTTTAAAGATAATGATTGGAAAGGAGCATAAGGAGGCTTCTGGAAACATTCTGTTTCTTAACTGGGTGGTTTTTATATAGATGTGTTCAATTTTTGAAAATTTATGGAGCTGTATACTTATAGTATATAATTTTTTCTGTATAATATTTTTACAAAAATTTCAAAAAAGACATAAGAAACAGCTTGAAGGGCATCCTACTAGTCAAAGTTAAAATAAATTACACATTTAAAAAAAGGATGAGGGAAAGAGTATGGAAACACAACTTATGAAAAGTTATGAGTTCATAATGATAATAAAAAGAAAAGAACACCAAGGATTCATCTCACCATTGAAGCAGCTTTTAGAGCAAACTCTTTACTTTGAAAACTGGAGACTTAAGTAGAAAGAAATTACCTTTCTTTTACTTTTCCTGCAACATTGATTTCTGAGAGTAATCAAATAGCTTTAGCTGGGTGAAGAAAGCTCTACTTTACAGGAAAATGTCAATTATATGGCAGAAGGAATGACAGAATTAGAAATGTATCATTCTACAACCCTAATAAAATGACAAGTTTTGGAAACAATTAAGTTAACAGTTGGTGGACTAATATTTTTAGCCTAACTGTACAGTGAAAAGATAAGACTATAATCTTCCAAATTCAGTGGTAACCTTAGCATTACTAATTGTTATTCAACCAATTATGTATTGACATGATGCATTCAATATAAGGTGAATAATATCATCTGCAGCGTGCTCCAACAAGAAAACACTCAACACAATCAAGTCTTTATATTTAAATTCCAATGTGCAAGAAACAAAAAGGAAGAAGGAATACATCAACAATACCAACAAAAAGGAAGCTAGGTAAGCTCAGAAGGTTAGCCACTCTACAAGAAAATATATATCAGATTTCTCCAACGTATTGAGGGTCCCTAGATTTAACGTCAGTTATGAGTTCTCAAAGTTTCTATTAACAAAACAGGTCACAAGAGACTAAAACTGAAAACTATCCAGAAATCCATCAACACTACCGTGAGTAAATAAGCTGCAATACGTTCACACAATGGAATACAAAATAAACAAGAATGAATGACCTACAACTACTCACAACAATGCAAAAGATTCCTACCAATGTGCTGAGTGACAGAAACAACAGTTTACATAATGTACAAAACCAGACAAAACTAATTTGTGATCCTTTTTTGGGAGACTGTGACTGAAACGGAGTCCAGGGGAGACTTCTGAAGTGCTGACAAATTCTGCTCTTCATCTGGGTACTGGCTATGTTAAGGTGTATGAAAACTCATTGAGCTTTATACTTATAACTGCAAGTGTATCATACTTCAATAAAATGTTTTTCTTAAAAGTTCTTTAAAGTATGCATATTTTTCTTAGACGTTTGCTTTCAGTGTATCACCCAAATGTTAAAATGACTTAAAAGCATATCCATATTAGGAAAATTTATCTTTCAGGTAATAGATTACACATATATGAAAGATAATTACAAATTCTATGAACATGACATTCTAAAGTTTAGCTATTACAATATATGTATTGTACGAAATTTGAGGGAAAATTAATTTAAAATGTGTAACTTTTTAGCAAGATTGTTATCAAACTGTTGAATAAACATAAACTAAGTTAACTGACAATTTTTTGGATGGCAAGTAAAAAATAAGCACTGATGGATCTCTAACGAAATATTAACACTATCTATTCTTTATATGACATGTGCAAATTGTTAATTATATGTTACAAATAATCTTAGTACAGAGATAAAGAGACATCATTCACATTTTATGGCATTTCAGGGCTTCCCAGGTGGCACTAGTGGTAAAGAACCTGCCTGCCAAAGCAGGAGACATGAGACAGGTTCGATCCCTGGGTTGGGAAGACCCCCTGGAGAAGGGAATGACAACCCACTCCAGTACTCTTGCCTGGGGAATTCCACAGACAGAGGAGCCTGGCAGGCTACAGTCCATGGGGTCTCGAAGAGTCAGACACAACTGAAGCGACTTAGCACGCATGCTACCACGAAAACAGTCTACTTAAATAGATCTAAATTATTTTCACTGTTTCATATTTGAAAAAACTGAGGCACAGAAAATCTATTTGTTTTATTAATAGGATCACACGTTCAACTGCCAATAAGATCATAAAAATTTTTAGACTTTCAAATACAAAAAGATCATGAAATAAAAACAAGTAATGGTTTTACTTATGAATTACAACTCCTGTCCGAACAGTAGCTGCATAGCATAAACACTTAACATTGCATTTAAGAAAACCTTGGTAGCTATTAGGCAATTCAACTAATACACTGAGACATATCTTCTTATCTTGTTAGTATCTTAAAAGTACAAATATGAGTACTAAAAGCATAACAAATTACAGAAGAAAAATGAGCATTTAGTGCAACACACATCACAAAATAAATGGGCAATTACTAAGTATGTAAAATACCACATGTATGATAAAACCACAAAAATGTTTAAAAAGAAAAATGAAAGGTGTTGCCTTCCCCATTTCAGAAGGTTTACTAGTACTTTTATTCCAAGAAAAAACCATACTAAAGGTAATCAAAATTACCTTGACAGCCACTCCTTTTCCCTCAGGAAATTCTAGAAGATGGAAAGTCAGTTCTTCAACCCTATTAATGCAGAGCCTTGGGTCAGTTGTTCTTCTTAATGCTTGAACTAATGCCCGGGTTCTGTTATCAATACTCACTCTGGCAATGATCTGCAAAGACATATTAATGTATGTATGATTCGAGTATGAAAACTGCTTCAGTGATACCAACAGATGATCAAAGTTCTCCAATCACATAAGGAAATGAAACTTAGAAATCTGATAAAAATTAAAACTTAAAATCACAATAAATTACGACTTGCCTTTTCTCGCTGAAGAGATAACCGCCTTTTCTCCTCTGCGTTTTTGTCTTTGCTGACAGCCTGCTCGGCTTTTGTCACCTCTTCCCGCTCTTCTGACTGACTCTTTGAATCATACTTTAGTTTGGGGACAAGTCCACCAATATAACCACCTACTAAGGCTTGTACACCTTCCGTGGGACGAGACAGAAAGTTAGCAATACTCTGTTTAGTAGAAATGGGAAGAACTTCAGGTGTCCCACTGGGACTTCCAGGCTTGTCCTCAGAATATAAAGAAGCTTCTGAGTCTAGCTTCTTATCAGACAGGATGCCAGGATCTGGAGAACTGGGTTTCTCATCTTCAACCTTTTTAAGTTCAAGTTCTGATTTTTCCTGGAAATGTTGATCTTCCTTCTGTTGAGACATTTTTTCCTCACGCTTGAAGTATGAATTAATATGACTTGACAAAAAGTAGAATGACTCTCCAAATTTTGTGGTTATATTATTTGTGTAATGAAAAAGGCTTGGTTTACCTATACTGTCTTTCTCTATAACCTGACTTTCCTTTGCTGGAAGAGAACTCTTTTCTGCTGACTTGTCACTATACTTTTTCAGAAACTTGATGGTTTGTTTAACGCTTTTCTGTTTTAACCAACCACTATCTGTCACTTTTCTTAATATTCGAGAACTTGGCTTAAGCTGAGCTAAACGAGAAATCATTTCATTTTGCTTGCCAAAGACAGCCTTTGAAACAGAGTTCAAAGTATTTTTAATACGGGACATACGAGGGCTCACTTTTGTAAGTCCCTTGGGAGCAGAAGTGCTAAGTCTCAAGATTCCAAGATGTAAACCATGGTGGCTTAGGGGGGAACAGTGCTTACTGCAAGAATGAGCTTCACTTTTGGTCCATTTACATCTTATTCTGCTTGTATGAACACCTCTCTGTAGACTGATGTGGCTTATCCTCCAGTAATATTCAGGTGAGCACAAGAAAGGCAGCTGCTTGCTCCTCTGCTTCCCACAAAGACTTCTCGCATTACTAAGGAGGTAAATATAATATAGATCTATAGTCAAATTAATAGACATAACTTAAAAATTACTTATTTTCTATACGTTATGACTTTCACTTCATTCCTGAATGCTTCATTTAAGAAATGCCATAATTCATGGTCTTACCTAAAATGGCAAGAAAAAAAAAAGATTAGGATTCAAGGTAAAACTGAAGTTGGGGAAGAGGTAAAATACATTACATTACTTGAACTAAACTCAGCAACTTGTCTCAAAAGAAGATAGGACAATATATTTTCATGATGGCAATAGAGATTTCATTTTTAAGCAAATAGAAGGTAATTAAATCTTCTAGTATAGAAATCAATGAGAAAAGAAAGTGAGTAGTAGGACATTTCATGAAAACTAATTTAGAGAAACTACAGGATAGATAAGGTCTCCAAAACACAAGACCGAACATGCAACTGTGAAACAAAATCTATATTCATGGTAAGACAAGGAAAACTTAAACATAAAAGTTCTTCTCTGCCCCTTGGCCTCCTTTCTACCTGCACACTCTACCTACCACACCTCCCCCACCAGCAGGAATCCCTGCTCCACATTCACAGCAACATTCTCCCAACATCAGCAAGACAGAACATCTTTTCTTGACCTTGCAAAGGGTCCCATGACCCACTGTGATGGTACTTAAGTCTGGATTATGCAAAATGTCAATACACATTATTTTATGTACAGCCCTCTGTTTCAAAAAAACTTATATAAACTGTGTCTCAACTTCTAACAGGTGGAACAGTTCTCAGAGTTTTCTGAGATACTCTTCCTGGGTTATAATCCTCAAATTTGGCTCAAATAAAATTTCCCAGTTCTTTCTTAGACCTACTGATTAATTTTTCATTGACACAATTTAAATATTCTGCTGTTTTTCTTCTTTATTATTGAAGTCTTGACTAGTTTATGTGACACTAGACATTAAGTTCTTTGAGGACAATAGTCAAGTCTCATACTCCTATTCACTGCAAACCATTTATAGAATATTTAATCTGAAACTTAGTCCCCCTGAAACCGAGTCCCTCTGTTGAATTTATTAACCTCTATCCAAAATGTTATTCTCCTGTCCAACACCTGTTCCCCTCAGGATTGAGGCATGTCAAAGAAAAGGGGGGGGCTCACACCAAGCAGGACCCTGTGGGACCCTCCGATGCATGAAAGCTTCTCTGTGTCCCCAATTTCTTGTTTGTAAGAAAAAGGCCTTCAGCCTCCGAGACCCTCCCTGAGTTCCAAAGGGCAGATTCAAACAGTTAATTAAGAGAGTGAGGGAATGCAGAGACATCAGTGCAGAGACGGGGCAGGGTCCTGGTTCATCCTGGGGGGGATGTATATAACAATCAGACAGAAATCTCTGAGTTCTTTTATGGGAACTAAGGCCCCCTCCCCAGGAAGACAATGGTAATGTCAGGCTGAGCACAAGCCCTAAGACCCAGACTGGCTGGAACCAGAAAGCTGATGACTGAGATTCCTGGGATACCATTTTGTCACCTCAACCTATCAGAAGAGGCCCCCCCACAAATTCTGCTTATAAAACCTCTTCCCCCAAACCCATCAGAGTTCAGGTCTTTCAGGCAGGAGCTGCCTGCCTTACGGCTCTTGCAATAAACCCTTCTCCCACTCCAAACGTGGACATTTCAGTTTGTCTGGCCTCACTGTGTGTTGTGCACACATTCAACAACTTGATGCCAGATATAGTCCTAAATGCTGAGACCACAAAGAGGATACCAAGAAACTTTCAGTTTAGAGCTTGAGATAGCCTTGTAAAGAAGATTTCACGGTCTAGTAGTAACTGCTCATTTAAGCAAAGAAGTCAGACTAGAATAAACTATGTGCATACATGCTAGGTCGCTTCAGTAGAGTCTAACTCCTTGAGACCCCATGGACTGTCCATGGGATTTTTCAGGCAAGAGTACTAGACACCTTCTCCAAAACTATGTGTAACACCTAACAGACAGGGGCTCATAACCACAACATGAATGCCATTTAAAACAGACATTTTGTTCTTTCAATTGGTAAAATGCAAATAATGGATAATATCCAGTACTGATAATAACGTGGGGAAATGGGACTCAGAGGGCTACCTGACAGAATCTAAGGAAATTTTAATAGCTATCTATCAAAATTTTAAAGGCACATGTTCTTTGATTAGTAGTTCCACCATAAAGAATCTATCCTACAGAAATACCTGCACAGGAGTACAGGTATATATACACATTCTTTGCCACACCGCTTGAAATATCAAAACACTGATAAACAACTCTTAAGTGTCTTCTAGAAAGGGATGGTTAAATAAACTATGGTAGATAACATACAACACAATGAATTACAATGTAATGTTATATAGCAGTTAGGAACTAGATGATCCAATGTATCCAATGTATATATCCTTCATACAGTATAGAGAGGAAGGCAAACTGCAATAACTTATGTATGAATATCATACACACAAGGATACACAGATGTAGACACAAAGGTATTATGTAATACAAGAAAACAAAAACCTACACATGCAACTGAAATCTGTGGCTACACACACATACACACATTCTGAAAAGGTAAGCATCTGTTTATTCCTGTGAACTGAGAAGTGGAATTGAAAGAGAAGGGTTTTTGAGAGAATAGCTTTTGAGAAGGGCTTTTACTTTTGGATGAATTCTATTATTTACAAAGAGAAGGCATTATATTTGTAATTTAAGAAAACAATGCAATGCACTTTAACAGATGGTACTATATGAATGGAAGACACAAAGTAAGAGCAGACATACAGGTAAGTCTGAAAAAAAAAAAGATGCTGAAAACTGGGCAAAACAGTAATTCATCACATGGTAAAAGATGAGAGGGGAAGGAGAGAATTCTACATAATGGGGAAAACAAACACAAACAAAAAAAAGCATTTAAGAAAGTACACACAATATAAGCAAAAATTGCAAGCAGTCAATTCTTTCCAGGACCTGGAGCCAATAATGAGGGAGAGGCTGAAGATGATACTGCAAAGACAGGAGGAGCCAGATTATGAAGGGTCCGACAATCTTGCCATAGAGATTATAAAGATCGAACTGTCAATGAACTATGTTAAGCAAAAAAATGACATTAGGAAGACGCTTCCAGCAGATCTCTGACAGATGGAGTAACAGAACAAGACTGAGAATGACAAGAACCAAGAACCCATTGTGACTCTTCAGAAGATAGTCTGAACTAACATCTTTCCAAATTGCACATGAACATACTATTTTAAAATCTGTAGAGGGGAGGAAAGAAAAGAAGCAAAACTATCTGCCTTGCTGACTCTTCTGAACCCCTCAGGATCTGCAATCAATGTAATAAGCTGAATTAACACAAAAGTTCCACAATCCCCAACACAGAAATACATGATAAAATACATCTAAAGGACTCGTGGATAAAAAAGCTATACTCAAAACTAATAATGGAATCCTGTAGCTCAACAACAAAAATCAAATAACTCAATTAAAAAATGGGCAAAGGACTTGAATAGATGAAAGATGTCATCTTTCTCCAAAGATGACATTCAGTAAATAAGCACAAGAAAAGATGAACAACATGACTGATATCAGAGAAATACAAATCAAAACCAAAATGAGGTATATATCCCACACTTATCAGGGGGGCTACTACCAAAAAAAGAAAAAAAGAAAAAAAAAAATACCTGAGAAATAAAGGACACTTCCAAAGCTCAGGCAAGAGACTCTCTCATTCAGCAATTCCCAATGAAGGCACACTCACAGTTAAAGAACCATCACTGCAAGAGACGACTGGCATGTACAGCCAACAGGAAAAAGTGTAACCGAGATTAGAAACAATAGAAAAAAAATTAAGTAGGTTTAAGACGTTCAATGATAGAACAAAAATAAGGAAGCAAAAAAAAAAAACTGTACAAAATGTACAGGAAGAGTAAAATTTTAGAAATGAAAATTCCAGCTACAAGCTAGTTACTAGATGTTACTGTAATATAATGACAAAGAAAAGCTGAAAAGGAATAGGGGAAATATATACCAAGGCCTATATAATCAAAAGAAAGCAAAAAGCACTTTAAAGCAAAAGTATTAAATAAGATTAAAAAGGCATACTATTCCATAGTAAAAAGAACAATCCATTTATTGAGAGTTATTAAACCTGTTTCCTAGGTCTTGGAGAACAAGACAACTTATTAATAAACAAGTAACTAATACAATGTATTAACAACATATCGAGAAGTACTATGAAGAAAAATAAAGCTGGAGGCTGGGTAGAACAGGGCCCAGGAACAGCTATTTCAGCTGATGTAGTCAGAAGAATTGAGTTGACATGTTACTGGAGATCTGAATGAACTGAGGAAGCAAATTATTTAAAAGTATCCAGGAAAAAAGCACTCAAGGCAGAGGAAAAAGCAACCAAAGCTTTGGAGACAGAAATGACCTTTTTCAAGAATAGTAAGCTTAAGGTAGTTAAAGTAAAGTAAGAAATAGGAGAAATGGTAGACATCGGCCCAAGGGTCAAGCAGAGAACAGAGCTATAAAAGCCAGGATTACAGTAAGGGATCTGCATTGTTTCTTTCCAATAAGAGATAATCCTCAAGACCAACTAGAATACACCTATCAACCTGGCAAAGAAATACAGCATATAAAGCAAATCTGAAAAGGGGAACAATTAAGGGAACTCTAGGCAATCTCATGATCATACCATTTTAAAACACCCTTCTAGAAGTGACAGTTATCAGGCCAAAACTGCCGAAAAGAGCTGTTAACAAAATCAACAAGCTGAATTTAACTGCTCCCAAACCACACTAGTAAATGCAGATTAAGTGTTTGGAGAGCAAATTGAGCTGAGACAAAAGTTAGATTGCAAACAGATAAGAAGGTAAACTGTAAAGTGCCACAATCAACTGAGAAAAGAGCAGGAGGACCAGACTCTATTTACAGGATAGTACAAATACAGATGGAGGCATAAATAGACGAGTGAGGCCTAGACCAACCACTGGGGAATGGAATGAAGTTGTAACTAGAAGAAATTCAGGAATTGCTAGGTGGAGGCTC